GCCCGCGAACTGTTCGAGGCGTGCCGCAACGGGGACGTGGAGCGAGTGAAGCGGCTGGTGACGCCGGAGAAGGTGAACAGCCGCGACACTGCGGGCAGGAAATCCACCCCACTCCACTTCGCCGCAGGTAAGTGAGACCAGCGCCCTACGCCGTAGACCCCACCTGGCCACCCGGGCTCGTAGGCCGGAAACCACTCGCGGTGCTCCTCCGCCCACGGCCTTACCCCCTAGGGCTCCTGTCTCTGTATTCTAGCTGGCGTTGAGTGGGAACTGAGGGGGGCAGGGGGTGGGGGTGGGAGCGTTCCGCACTCTCTGGCTCCCTGGAGGTAGGTGGTGGTTGTTTGCTTTGTTTTGCATCAACAGTACTTGTATTCCCTTCCGGTCTTGCTTCCTAAAACGTCTCTACACGCCAGAAAGAGTGGGAGACTTGGTAGACTTGTCATTTGGAAGGACAGTTATCTCCAGAATCTATCGTTTTGCAAAAGCCCTCTGTCAATCCTCTTATCAGTTCTTTGGACTAAGGTCTTAAAGGCCTTTGTGAAATGCAGGAATGTAGTTTGAGAGTAAGTTAATTGGCCACTTATGCATCCGTGTTAATTTGGTTTATAAGGGCAGTCAGTCATTAGCAGGTTTCTGGAAGAACTGAATGGTTTAGGCTGGGGGCAGGCAGTAGTTGGAATGGGATAGTCTCCGCACACGCATGTTGGAATGAGAGGTGGTAACGGACAGGAAAACTGGTGCCACTTGGATCTGGAATTTAAATCGCAACTAAGTTGGTTTCATTCTGAGGTTTAGATCATTTGAATTACTTTTAATATTTACTAGGTTCATTTTGTGATGTAAACCTGTTACACTGAAGTTTTTTTTTTTAACTAGAGACTTTATACTTTAACTTTGAGAAGAGATCGTGACTGTCTCTAACCTCAAATAAGGCATGTGTTACTGAAAAATGGGAATAGGTTGTCATGCTTCAGGTAGTCCTGGTTTTAATTTCGTGATTTTGAAATAATTTTTTTGAAAAAAACAAAAAGACACATTTTAGAGCATTTTAAATAGCGTAGGAATGGTGAACAGAAAGGATGCGCGAGGAAGATTTCCTTGTCTGCAGACATTGCTTTTACACTTTTCTACCAATTGAAATTTGTTTGCTTCACCAGTTATTGTTTCAGTATGTAAACACTATTAGTAGTTACGCTGTCTTGATCAGTTGTAATTTCTTTGCTTTCCTTCCCATTTAGGGAGTTTTTTTTTTTTTTTTTTTTTTTAAGGAGAAAGTTCAGGGGGTCTATTGATAGGAGAACTAGAAATAGCCTGTGGGCAGTGGAAAGGGAAGGTAGAATAATACAGACTAAAGTCAGATCTTATATTTTGTCTAAAAATTTGGTGATCACTGCTACTGCTGTCTTTGATAAACTGATTTAGTTTGACCATGTAGTCAACATTTAAACAACTGATTTGGCTAACTCTTTACCAACTGATACATAATCCAAAGGGTAGTGTTACCTAGATTCTGTTCACTTGATCTGTGGGATAAAAATAACCAAAGAAGATCTTAGTTGCTACCTTTCAAGAATTTGTTGTATTAGTGAGTCCATATCTGAAAATAGTAATATTAAGAGGTTTAAGGTTATGGGCTTAGCTTCTTATTTACCTTGTTCCTCCCCCACCATCACTTTCTCAGTTTGGTCCCTCCATTTCAAACTGCCTTTTGCATAGAGTTCATAGTGGAAAACTTAGGAACCAGTTTACCCAGTTATCAAGCACAGCTTATAAAATTAACTTTATGAATATATACCTTAAAGACCTAAGGTATAAAGAGTAATAAAGTAAAAATTAGTAATGGTTTTCATTTAACCAGAATTTTAAAAGCCCTGAATTTGAATCCAGGTGTATAAAAAACTTAAATTTAGTTAAATAAATCTAATCTGTATTATTAGATGAATGAGAAAGGACTTGGTTTTCTAACTTAGAAATGCATCCAACTGCACTGATACTTAATATATGGAGAATAAATTTTACAATCTTTTGTACATAGTGAATTGCCAGTTATATTAATGTGCATGTATGCTAGCCTTTGGAAGCTCACTGCAGGGATTGGTCATATGCAACTGCCAGACCAAGCAAAACTCTTCTATTTGTATCACAGAGTAAACTACAATATGAAGGATGTAAAAATCCAAATAAAGTTTGGAATTTTATGGGAAAGCACGTTTTTGTCTTTCAGTTTTGATTTTTTTTTTAAACTAATTGTCATAGTATTTGTATTTCCCTGTCAGGTATTGCTACCATAGGTGACGCAGCACCAAGTCACCAATAGCTCACTAGTTTTGACTTCCAAGGAACAAAAGTGAAAGATCTGTGCAGGTCGAGGAAAGAAAATGAATCATGGTAGAAAAGCAATTCAGGAAAAAAATTGGTCTTTTTCCATATAAAAATATTCATTTAAAAGAATACCTGTTGCTAGTCCCAAAGGAGTTAACTTCTATTAATGAAGAGTGTAATTAGCATAAACAGCAACTTTTATTATTGCACTAGATTATATTCTAAATATGATAAGTCATTTTTTAAAATATATGTATTTATGCACACAGAACTAGGGTACAGGTCAGAGGTGAGGGGGTGTTGAGAGGATTCACCAGTAACAGAATGGGCAACGGAACAGGCAGATTGAGGCGAGCAGCAGTGAGTCAATCAGGAGAGGTCTGCCACACCATGTGTGCTACACACACACACACACACACCCCACTAGGGATGGAAGGAACTCTTGCAGTGGTTGAGGAGAGCTTCATCGTGTTTTGCTTTAACCTATTGAGCCAACAAGGAGGGCCCTGATAAGTCATTTCTTAGGAGAAAAATTGTTCCCTCTTTAATCTACCCATCTTCTCCTACCCAACTCCCTCACACACACAACAGAACTATGATTTTTTTTTAGGTGACACATAACAGGACTTGTAGAGGCAAGTTAGTGGTAGGGAGGCTGTAGCTCCCATTTTACTAAAAGCATCTGAAATTTTTGACAGTGTAACCCCCTAGGGGCAGAAGTTTGGGGTAAAAAATCATTTTGGTGTCCATCATAGCCCAAAAAAGAAATGAACAGCATTTCTTCTTTAGAAAGAAGGTAGAAGAGAATAGAATTCCATGCCTAAGGAATCTTAAATTTGAGGTGCATAGAGAAATACCATTCAGTAGAGAAAAAATGTAAAGTAATTTATTAGGTTCAAGGAATTTGGGGGAAAGAGATTTACTCCTGCACACACACAAATTGGAGAATGACAAGTTGAAAAAGAGCTTGCAGCTCTCCCTGGTGGCGCAGCTGGTTAAAGCACTGCACTGAGAAGCTAAAGCCACTTCTGCATGAGTTCGATCCCCGCCTGCCCCGAGGAGATCCGCATGGCGTGGCAGACCTCTCCTGACCCACCCGCTAATCCCCTCAGCAGTGTATTTCGTCTCTCTGCCTGTTCTGCACCCCACTCTGTCTCTGGTGAATCCTCTCACTGTCAGCATCTCTGGCCTGTACCCCAGTTCTGTATATATAATTAAAAATAAATCTTTAAAAAAAAAAGAAAGAAAAAGAGCTTGCTTTGTAACATTCTGACTAAATAATATAACACTTGTTTCATATTTGTAATATGTTGTGTGTTACAATTCTGTTTGTGATGTGCTACCAGCCATGCACACTGAACCAGTGGGGTTAAAAGTCACTTAATATAATCAGTTGAGTAAGCCTCCCTTTTTTTTTTTTTTTTTTAATTCAAGGGGGAGGAGTGAAATTAGAGCATCTGGAATTTATCATACAAACCACAGATAGGAAAACAAGAGTTTCTTATTCTGAGGTGAGAGAAGACTAAGATTGAACAATGCTATTGTGTTCACAGTCATATAGAGAAGTAAGTGGATGTGACTTAATGAGATATCAGAAGTCAGAACTAGGCCAGTAGGTAGAAGGGTGCTGAGCCTCACACTGCCTTTAACATTCTGTTGGACCATGGAATTGACAGCAGATGTCTAACTGTCTGGATTGGCATCTTCAGAAAGGTCGTAGAAATTCTGCATAAAGTATGTAATTGGAACAACGGGTCCAACTCTGACTGGATTAAGAAAGTGGGTCCAACTCTGACTGGATTAAGAAAGTGGAGTGATTCCTCCAGTTGGAGATTTTAACAACTCAGCTACAAAAGATAATACTTGTGTGGTTAATTTCATACCAGCTAGTGCTGTTGAAGACCTCCTGTACTCTTTCAATGGCATTCCCTTCTTTTGGCTGTAGACCAGTTCATAATTATGGGAGGTGCACAAAATGCACCCATATTCCTTACCTATGACTAGAATTATAGATTATTGTTCCCAGGATTAGTTTTGCTGTGGGAGATGATTAAATCCTACATCAGCAGAAAACCTTGATACCAGATAAAGACAAGTCTATTTAAAAATCCAGAATCTTGATTCATCAGAGCTCCCAGTATATCATTAAGACTGGAGCTACACCTTTCCCTCAGCTCTTGCTGACTTAGGAGTTGGCAATTTATCTAAGTAACAGCTAGTTTGGACTTGTTTCAGTACTTCCCCATTCAGATAGTCAGAATTTCAGGACCCCAGAGGCCATGGCATTCTTTTTCAAAAGGTTTCTCCTAGTCTGACCAGATAGTCTGTTACCAGTTGACATGGGCCAAACATTCTCCCATGTAGTCTTCATTCTAAAGAAATGTGCATGAGAAGTATACTTTTTCTGAATCTTGGTGAACTGAAGTAAATAATAATTGAGAAATTTTAAATGACATCCCTCAGAAGAAATATGACAAGAGTCCTGCCACGTAAGTGAAAGCTGTAGGCTGCTTGGTTCTATATTCCCATCTCCCAGAATAGAGGAGCCTTCTCTTTGATGGCATTTTCTCTTTCTGAACTTTTACTTCTGACAGCCCACTTTGGCATACCAATACTTGGTAGGACATCACCATCATTTCGTTTTCGACCAGTAGTTATCACACTTTGGGGTTGTTAAAAGGAAGGGTATATGAGTAAAAAGGTAACTCATGGAAACTTCTGAGAGCCTAAGTTGGTTTATCCCCTCACAGATTCTTAGAAGCCATTAATTTCAGATGAAAGCATGTTTCCAATATGGTGGCAAAA